ACTTGGTATCCAGTCACCCTCTGTGTCTTCTAGCAGTTTCTGATGTCGTCTTCTGTGACATCATATTCGCCCGCCCTCTGAAGGATAACAATGAAAGTCCCTTGCCTCGAATCCTTCGAAATCATATTCTACCTCCACATTGTACAGAAGTTTTTTCCAAGCATTGGCTAGAGTAGTAGTCTTCAGTGCCTTCCATGAAGCTGCTAAGTTGAATATTGCAGACTTGAGGTTGTAGTTCTTGACGTTATTAACAGTTCTTTGTCCTCGTGTGTCTTCCGTAAGATCTTCCTCTTCTTCTATAACTGCAACAACTTCGTCCAGATATCTTCGTTGGCATATTCTCTTGCAGGCTACAATTACACCCTGATCCTTTGGCTGGATCAGGGAGGTAACATTGGGTGGCAAGAACATGCATCTTATTTTACCATCATTACTGACAAGCTTGTCAGCACCTGGGTGAGCAGGTGCATTGTCCAAAATTAGTAGTGCCTTCACCTCAGCAGCAGGAAGTTTGAGGACATCATCTTGATATTTTCGCACTGCAGGAATGAAATGCAAGAAAAACCAATCATTAAAGAATTGCATGTTGAACCACAATTTCTTGGAGTGGTAATAATGCACTGGTAGATGGTGCATCATGTCTTTCAAAATTCGCAGGCATGCTGACCTCCCCACCACCACTAACTTTAAACGGTGCATACCGTCTGCGTTCGCGCAACACAATGCCGAAAATCGTTCCTTACTTACTTTACGACCAGGTGAGGAGGCTTCATTCTTGAAAGCTTGGGTATTCCGGGGTAGGGACCGCCAAAACAACCCAGTTTCATCCCCATTATAGACTTGGGAAATCAGGAGCCCTTCACTCTTAATTAAGTCATTTAGCCTCTCCCTGAATGGTTCGATGTCCTCGGTGGGTGCACTACCAGCTTCACCATGGGTAATTTTATTACACATTCCATGGCGATTTCTAAATTGTCATAACCACCCGTCACTAGCTTCGAAATTCTCAATGCCCATATGACTTGCTAGTTTAGCAGCAGCAGCTTGAATTTCTACACCACTAACGACATTACCACAGGATCATTGCTGCACAAACCACTTCGTCACTACCTCCTCAAGATTTGTATCTTTCGCCACTCTCATAAGCTTCCTTGCACCAACAGATGATGATTTAGAAGTTGCATCAACATTGTATTTCAAAGAAAATGCAATGAGTTTGTCCTTAGCCTTGCGTATGTCCGAAACTGTTTGCTTTTTAACACCATACTCGTCACAAACTCTAGCCACCGAAGCACCAGCCTCTAACTTCCTTATAAGTTCCAGTTTCTGGTTCACAGAAAGGGTCACATACTTCCTCTTCGGCGTATTACTCCCCCTTGAAGACATGATGTAAAATACAAGGCTGAAAGATGCCTAATCACTGAAATATCAACAAAAATTGCAGGGCAACACAACACTGATACTCGAATATGGCGCTAGGTCAACAATGACAGGCGTGACTCACGCGCACAAGACCGCGGCGTGACCCATCTATCGGACAATCCCAGAACCAGAAATTTGATACGGACAGTCCCTCGCTTAGTTCAGATTTCGTCCGATTTATCCGATATCCGGATTAAAGGGGTCCGAATTAACGAGGGTCGACTGTAATATAAATTCTTGTACCAGAATAAATAATTGCTTCCTACTATAAGTGCACACCGAGCCAACTTAATAACTTCATATCGTAATTGATATTTATCTTTCGATGTTCTCCTTACAGTGAAACAAAGTTTATTATGTGTTCCAGGCACAATTGTGTATTATTGTCCATTTCAATTTAGACTTAGGTTTGCTGGGGAAAATTTTAACATGTCCAGGGCTGATTCACTAGCAGCTTAAAGTGGCCACTGAGTGCCAGTAAGTTTTCGCAAGGTGGAAATAGCCCCCGTTGTCTCTACTATATACCCTGTCATGAAACACAGAGCTGCCAGACATGCAGCACTTCAAGCATCACAAGTGAGAGTGAAGCTGCGAAGATGTATTAACAATTACTTTTGTTCGTGACCGTGCACACCGGAGAGAAATGATGTTTAGGGTTCCTTTGGACCCTCTACAAATTGATGACCACTTACTGTTACATTGGCATATACTCTGGCTAAATACATCTGTTTTCAGTTTTTTTGCAAGTGGTAGTTTCCATAGTGTAGCTGATGACGTTACAAGCTTAAGGCAATGAACTGTGTCAAGAAATATAAAGTGCATTTGCTCCAAAATACTGCAATAGTAATATTAATAATAATATTATAATTATTACAGTATTATTATTATTAACAAAAATCTCATTGGAGAAATTCAGTCTCTGACATGGGTAACGTGTGATTGGCTAATACAGTGATCCCTCGGTTAATGAGATTTCGGTTAACGAGTTACCTCCCATAAGATTCTTAACTTCGGTTAACGAGCAATCCCTCGGTTAACGGGTTTCTTACGAGCCGACCTCAACATGTCTTCGCTTGCATTTGACGGTCCACCAGCTGTAGTATTAGTCCGCCAATACAGTAATCGGTTCTAGGGCTTAAATTCCTTACTATTTTAGTAAATATCAAGAAGTTTATACTGTTCAATAATTTTAAAAGTTTAATATTAATTTTCTAGTCATTTTAACAATTATTGAACGTAATTGAAGGTAACGAAACTAGTTTTATGCGCACCATCCAGCCTGTCAACACACCAAACAGGCGCCAGTCTCTCTGTCTTTTCAGTGGAGGTAACATCTTGCTTGAGATTCTCCTCAACTAAACGTTTTTTTTCTGTGTTTGCAAGCAAATTATTGGTCATTTAGAAATTTATTTTACATATTGACAATATATAATGCAGTGCAGTGTTGATTTAAAGAAAATAATCTTGAATTACACCAAGAGAACTAAAATTTTATGGGTGAAATGGCACCATGGGGTGACTTCTCTTCCACCCCAATGCCTTCTCTTCTCCCTTCTCCTACACCTCCATTCTAATTCTGATCATCATCATCATCCAGGAGCCTTCTACATACACACCTCAAAGTAAGTGTACTTTTCTACCTTTTTTTGTTGAATTTAGGCAATTTTCGGTGAGCTGGAACCAATTACCCAAAAACCCATTGAAACAATGGTTTCGGTTAACCGAGGGACCACTGTGCAGGTTGACAACCCTTTATCCGAAATTCTGAAAACCGAAAAGCTCTGAAAACCAAAAGTTTTTTTTTTTTATGGGTATTAGCTCACCCGGGCACAGGTCACTGACCCACATCAGGGCCTGGGGGGCGAAAATGTAATAGTAATAATAATTATAATAATAATAATAATAATAATAATGATAATAATAATAATAATTATTCATAGTAAATAACATTTTTAATAGAAAATACACAAAATTAAAATAAGAATGATAACAATAATAATAATAATAAAATAATAAAAATAAAATTAATAATAATAATAATAATAATAATAATAATAATAACAATAATACTGTAATAATAAAATAATAATAAGAAAGAAATACAAGAATAAAAAAAGATCAAAAGTGAGAAACATGACCTAGACCTATTATTATAATCATTATTATATTTTAGCACCCCAGGCCGCAATGTGGGTCAGTGACCTGTGTCCGGGTGGTCTGACCCCCTGTAAAAAAAAAAAACATTCTGAAATCCGAAAAATTCCGAAAACCGAAATGCACCTGGCCCCAAGGATTTCGGATAAGGGATTGTCAACCTGTATTAGAAATGAAGGATTAAGTCTGATAACCCATTTTATGATCAGAGGTGAGTAGATGCTCTATGTATATGGAATGTTAGCACAATATGTCAAATGATCTTCATTACATCCTCCACAGCAACCTCAGTCCTTAAAAAGGGAGGGTCTGAAAAGCCTTAAAACTGGGAACTAGTAAGTCATGATCATCTCGCCAGACTATTCTCACGATCCACTTACTGTACATCTGAGGACAACCCAAAAGAGAAGGGTGGGATATGAGTTATACAAAGGGTTTGGTTATACAGGTAATGGATTCTGGAACAATTCACCAATTTAAAACTTATCTGTCTAGAATGACTTGTAAATTCAGAGACTAGCAAAGATATAAGGAGATGAAATAAAACTTTTGCTGTAAGGCTATGCACCTCATTGACTTGCCAACTGTGTAGTGATAGCTGAACTTCCCTGTGCTACTCGGCTCTCTGGTGTTGCCCAAGCCACCTAGAGAAATAGCAACAGTTCAAAGACCAGACAGTCTCATGAAGGAGGGGCACAAGGCTTGCCAGCAAAGAATTCCTTGCAAGGCTCAGCAAAAGTCAGTGTCAGGTGGTTAAGGACAATATTATACCAGCCCTCATGTTTTAAGAAATTCCACACCCAGAGTGGAAACCTCTAAGGAAAAAAATATCAGGTTCATATATTTCTGTCTTGAATGCCAGCATGTACAGTCTCTCCTCGACTTACGAAATATTCGACTTACGACAACCTGGACATACGACGGCAATGGTCGTATAAAATATTTTTGACATTACATATTTTAGAGTCCCGACGTTAGTGATCGCGCTGTGTACTGACAAAATTTTTGTTTGTAATTCCGTTTAAAATGGCTGGGAAGCGTAAAAGTGAGAGTTCTCGTGGTGCTGAGAAGAAAAAGAGACCCATTTTAGAATTTCTATTTATTATTTTCGCCTTTTCAACTTACGACCTGGTGAGGTCCAGATGTGTTGGAACAACTATGGTAAGGTTTTGAGAGAGAGAGAGAATAGATCTTGCATAAGCTAAAGTAAGAGGAGAACTACTGAATTGATTCAATGTTAAAATCTGCATCAAGAATGGCATGCATCCCCAAAATCAAGTTATATCTTAGCAGATACAATGGTTAAGAGGATCTTCATTCTAAATACAGGTAAGATAGTAATACAAAAGGATAAAAATGAGAGGTACTGTATATAAACATAAATTAATAAATTACCAGAAAGAACACTCATTCTCATATCTCACCTGTTGGATTTCTGGAGTGTTAACAAGCTCATGTGATACAGGTTTGGCTTGTGACCTTAAAACTGGATCTCCTGCTTGGCAGATATGAAGAAATGGAGGCTTTAGAGGAGTTGGAAAGAAAAAACTACGATAGGCAGCTGCAAAACGCTTGAAGGCCATTATTACCGAGCTTTATACTGTACACATCTGAAATAAAAGAAGTACAGTACAATATGCTACAATTTAATCTACAGTCTACAAAGAACCTGTAGACTGTATTGTTTTGCACAAATGCAATTCTGGAACTGAGGTACTGTACTGCATTTACCCTATATTAGTGTGACACATATCATATACAGTTTGGTGTGAATTTAAATTGATTTGGAACACTTTTATAGAAATACTCAAGTGTTTCCCCAGAATGGATAAAAATTGTTCAGTGGTTAATTTCAACTGAATTCAAACACAGTTTTATGAAGAGTACAGTACATACAATTAACAAGGTGGTGACTACTGGGTGTTATGTATAAATTAAACCAAATCTAACCTAACAAGGTAGAGTTGGGTTATGGCAGTTATGATTAGGAAATAAGTGAAATGATTCGTTTAAACTGGGTGCTGAGATAAAAGTTGGAAAACGAGAATTTTCAGAACTACAAATAAACAAATTCTCTTATTTCCTAAGTCGAATTAACCCTAACCTTATCCTGTTTGGTTCCCTTTATATAAAACACCTGTAGAATACTGTACAGCCTTAACTCCTTATCGATCACATAGCTAAAGGTAATAGTTAAGGACACCCACAGTTAAACTACCCAATTACCTATGGAGAATACTTAATTTGTCCTCTTTGCCACAAAAAGTCAAATGACTGAAGTACATTAGTTGGGGGCACAGTAATAGAACACCCATACTGTATATCTGCATTGTCTACAGTATATATAAGTTGATCTGTTAACTTGCCTTGTGTGTTTACGTACTGAACCAATAAAGAGAGGGATATTATTTTACTTTAGGACATAGCGCGCCTGAAAGTTATAAACTTCGAAAACATTTAGATCTCCCAATTCTGAGCATTTTGAACCCCATATACACCAGGCGGAAATCGATAATAGCGACACAATTGAATTTAATTGATTTTACGTAGTTTTCAGTCTTTGTCTGTAAGGAGGTGTTATCAGCACATTACGCATGCGCAATATTGACCGACATCATTCAGTCGTGACCAATGCTGTATCGATATCATCAAGCGAATTTTTTTTCGACCAATCACCTTTGATTTTTTTCAAAGGAAGCATCCTGGGTTCGATTTTAATTTCACTGACCAGTCTCACAATGGCTATGGTGGAGGTTGGTTGTCATTTGTGTTCCTACGATTATTTTAAGTTTATTGCTGAGTGTTATGAGAAAGACGATCATTCTATCTAATTCTTAAGTATCCCTGGTTCTTCCACATCTAACTAAGGTATTGTACTTTCGGACATGGTGCACCCCAAAAGTTTTAAACTTCTGAAACATTTAGGTTAGTTTAAACTAGGCCTACCTGGGGTTCGGGGGAGGAGCCCCCTTGCTAGGGTTTTTTTACGGGTATTAGCCCACCCGACACAGGTCACCGACTCACATCATCAGGGCCGGGGGCAAAAACGTAATAACAACAACAACAACAACAACAACAACAATAACAATAATAATAATAATAATAATAATAATAATAATATAATAATAATTCAAATTAAGTAAAATTTATAATAAAAAAAAATAATAATAATAATTATAATAATAATAATAAGGAACCATACAGAAAAAAAAAGATCATTAGTGAGAAACGATATATGTATGTTGTGTTGTCAATAGTAAGAGAAACAATTGAGACCCTGCAATTGTGTGTAAATGAGACAGAAAGTCAGATCAGCAACCTGGGACTTGGTCACAATTTTTGCAATGCCATATGGCAGCAGGGTCTACCATTAGACAACACATTATGCTTCCAATATCTTCCCAGGCGGTAGTACCTCCCTGTTTGGTAGCTGCCTACTACCTTTAAGGTAAGGTAAGGTTAGGTAAGGTTAGAGGACTCATTTTCGTTCTCTCCCCTACCCAAAAACCCCGATTTCCCAGGCTCTCCCCCATTATTATTGGAGGGGAAGGGGACGAAAACGAGCAATTTCCGCCCAAAATGGTCAGATTCGTTTAAAACACACCAAAATGCACTGGAAAAACATATTGGTCAACCCCTAGGGACTGATGTCCAAAAGTAAAAATTTACCAAGAGATGTACAGTCTCTCTTCGACTTACGACGGGTTCCGTCCCGACGACCAGGTCGTAAGTCGAATATGTTGTAAGTCGAGGAGAGACTGTATAAGGCGATTGTACTGAATACCAAGAAATATCTCTTGCTATATATAATAGATGAATCTAAAGCAAGAGAAAGAAGAGATTCTATATTACCGGTGCCATGTGACAAACCTTCCATGGGCAAAACCTTCCGGGGTAAATGCTTAGTTTTGGGTATTAAATTTAATTATTTTGTAATGTTATGTTAGGGCAGGTTAGGTCAGGATTCCTTGGGTTTGATTCGTTCATTTTTTGTGTTCTTGCCCCACAATTTCCATCGACTTCAAAGCACTGCCCTCTTTGTGCTTTCATTGTCTTTGGTAGTGAGTATGTTTCATATCATCCTTATACTGTAGTCAGTTTGCCCAAGATATAATGGGAAATTCATTCAAAACCTTCCGTTAACTATTTATAAATATTTTCAACTCTCACAAATCAATGATACATCTTAGACGTCGATAATGAACATCAGTAATTGGTGAGCCCGGAAGGTTTATCACACTGGAAGGTTTGTCCATGACACAGGTACTAAACCTCAGAAAGTAGTACATACTGCAGTAGTGATCTGCCACCTTTGGGTAGTTCAAGAGCAATGCAATACTTGTTGAATTCTATCAGATAAACTTTCAGTACTCCTGTAGACATACTATAAGACACCAAGCGTTAACCAAAGCAAAGCACCGCCCTGGAAATAAGCACCTGACAGCAATGTGGGTTATCCTTGGTCCAGTTGCCTGCCCTGTCTCGGCCCACAGTAAACTGTTCACCCCCACGGACATTGTTTACAAAACTTTACAAACATGTTTACCATTGGCAAACCCGTACAGACACTCAACAACTCAAGTAACTATTGAACATATATTATTATTATAAATATTATTAACGTTATTATCATTATGGTCATTATTATCATCTTATGAGGGTGCGCGTGTCTGAGCTCATCACGTCAGCTGGTACAGCAGACCAAACACTGCCTCACTATAAACAAATTATCAATAAAATCATATTTGAAGAAGAATTCGTCAGGTAATGATAAAAATAATAACAATAATAAAAAAATACGAACATGAAAAAAACTCGAGTGACAAACGACATGCAGGAGGTAGAGTGTGTGTTGTGTTGTAAGGCAAGAGAAACAACTGAGACCCTGCAATGGTGTGTAAATGAGGCAGACAGACAGATCACCAACCTGGCTGGAACTTACTCGCAATTTTTGTGATGCCATATAGCAGCAGGGTCTACCATTAGACAATACATTATGCTTCCAATATCTTCCCAGACGGTAGTACCTCCCTGTTTGATAAGCTGGAACCTACTAGGTGTTTGGTGTTGTAGTATTTTACCCAACATTTACCCTCGACTTCAAAGCCCTGCCCACTTTAAACATGTATATATAATACTGTTAGTAATTTTATCCATTAAAATACTCGAAAAATATACATTTACGACGTAAATGCCATAGAAATATAGTGTCTTAGAATATTCTAAACTATGTGAAAACCCTATTTTTTAGGGAAAAGTCGAAACCTGGCTACTATCATAAATTGACCCCAAATTTATGATAGTTTGTCCCCCAGCCCCCCTAACAATACCAACAAGTTTGACTGCACAAAGTGGGCAGGACTCTGAAGTAGAGGGAAATTGTGGGGGTAAAATAACAAAAAAACTAACCAAACCTGACCTGACCTGACCTGACCTGATCTGACCTAACAACCATGGAACTTTGTATAGTTGTTTAGGTAAAGGGTGGAGTCCACTTGCACCAGGACTACCATATAGAATTGTACCAAATTTTCAGATGATGTTTCAATGATACAGAGTAAGGTTGACTATATGACAAAAGCCCCCTGGGACAAATAATAACAATAACTTTTTAATTAATTAGTTTTATTCTTTATTGTTTACAGATTGTGAACACTTGTCTGACATGTAAAATATTATATTTATTATATCATAAGACTGCAATACCTAACCTAACTTAATCTAACCCATCCCAACCTAGCCTAACCTATTTAGTACTGTGACTGAGGGGGTTATGCTCATGAGGTTTTTGTAACAAATAGCAGATAACACACACTGACAACGGCAGATTTTTCAGAAGAGCATTTACAGTAAATAATTAATTTCTTCAGGTAGAAAGCACATAAGAGACATCATATTAGTGACATATGATCAGTGTAGTTCCAACATAATATATGATGAAAGCAGCATCATTAGATATAAATCAGTCATACATAAAACCCTGAAGTACTGTAGATGCCAAGGAACATACAGATGATTAAATTTCTAGCTGTAACTACCTATTAACTTTACTTTTAGAGGCTACATCAAACTAATTGTCTCTATACCTATTTTATTGTACTTTTAGATGAATTCCAGTGTAAGAATATCAGAGGTGGGGCGAACAGATCACTTGGAGGTGGAGATGATTGATGATGATGATAGCCATGAACTTCAGTCTGGTCAACATTTTACTGAATTACTTACTGTGAGTTTGTATTGGATATTTTGATACATTGCACTGATCCCAGGAAATCTGTAAACTGTTCTACTATCCTTTCTCCTAAGCTCATCTGCATACAGTATTATCTTTTATGTATGGTATTATTTGTCCGTTAATAAGATAAGCATAGATGCCCCTTGTATAGCCGTGTAGTGTAAAATATCCATTTCTTTCATATTTCACAATTTTATCAAGGTAGTTTTCAGTGAAACAACTACAAACATATACAGTATATGGGAGTATTTTCCATTTATCTACTGTGCAGTAGTGTACTGTAAACCATGACATGAGGTACTGTACTGCTCTTTTGTGTTGATGTCTTCCTTGTCATAGCCCTTATTTTTATTTTTTTAAGGATTATGTGAAGAGTTAAGTATACTGTACCAGACAAATTATAGGCATTCCAGTGACTTTGGAATAAAACAACAACAAAGGAAATTGCTGCCTTTCATGTAGACCCTTTGAGTACTATAATAACAGCCTTCAGCTCAGATGTAATTAGTGTTTCAAAAGATTTAGAAAACCTAAAACAAAACTGTACTAACAGGTACATATATCTACAGTATCTCAATCTAGCTATATAAATATAGTACAGTACAGTACTGTACATATACCCGATAGGTACAGATATTAACAGGGCTGCCGAGAGCAACCAGTGGCTCTGGGGCAGGGATTGTTACCCAAGCCTCAGCCTTTTCAGTTTTTTGTTTTTCATAAAATTTTTACTACTGTATGTTCAAAACTTTACTACAGGTACTTCAGACATGTCGAATAATGACTTAAGTTAAAAAAGCAAAAGTTTTAGTAAGTGATGTTCGTTAATATTTTCAATTTTTATCTCATGTAGGGAGGCCTAGGCATTGTGAGTCAAGTCTCAGTATCTTTCCCTTCTTGGTAGGCCTTACCTACTGTATATGTATACATGGTACATACAATGCTGTATACATTATCATACTAAATGACTGGAAATATTTTTTTCTAATTGCAACTTATTCTGTGGAATTATATTTACAGATGGATTCTAACATGAGAATGACTGAATTAGGTGCAACAGATCATGTAGAGGTGGAGATGATTGAGGCTGAACCTGTTGATGATGATGACAATGAAGATGAGGAGGGACACCAAAATGAATATACTGATCTTCTCTCTGTAAGTTACAGTGGAGAACCCCTCACACATAGTATACCTGTAATTCTGTATTTAAGACAAAGGAGAAGTGCCCACCATACCTGAAGCAATATGTTTTTTAAGGAATACTGTACACTTACCGTGTCGCCTACCGTAAATATTATATCTTATTATCTTATGTAATCAATATACTACATGGGTGCTTGTTTGTGTCTGAATCATATTAATATGTAATACCACACACTGACCCCATTTTTTGTGATCGTTTTACAGATGGAGCCACTAAATACTGAGATATCAGAAATTATAGAAGGCAATGAAAGATGTGTAGGGGCCTATTCATCTGCCAGCTCAGAGGAGAGAGAGGTTCTAGGATTGCCATATGTACGTTTGTCTTGGAAATACTGTAGTTACTGTATCTCTTTGATTCTGTCTTTCTCTCGCTCATTTATTATTTTTAAATTAATATATTGTATGGTAGTTTCAATGAGTAAAGTACAGCCCAATCTTTTGGCCTAAAAACAATAAGTGCTAAGTAATTATCATTGCAAAACAAAATAGATTTTTCCAACAGTTATTAGGACTTAGTAGGTACAGGGTAATTACCAAAATTTCAACTTTTTGACCACATTGCTTTAATGAGTTCGTCCATGACCACTCATAGTTTACTGTGATTATATGTACAGATGCATGTTATGCATAGTAGAAGTCAATCAAGTTACTGAAGTGACATGACTGCAATACTGTATGTGATACAGGGGGTCCTCTTTATCTGTGGTTAATTGGAACCGGAAAAACGCCTTTGATAATAAATTCACCTAAAGTGGGGAATTAATCCTATAAGACATGACATTGTACACGACACTAAAAAAATTATTTTATATCTTTTAACAATTATTTACCTTAGAAACATTTGTTAAACATTTGATAAAACATTATTTTAAGAAATTATTAGATTTTATAAGTTATCTAACGTCCTTAAAGTTCATTGGGGTCAGTGTGTTGAGGCAACGTAGGTTGTGCCAGCAATGAGACAAAATACTTATTTAAATGTTTTAAAAATAAATAATTTCAACATAATAAAATATTGTTATTTTCTTAGCTACAAAGGGAGAGATGTTTGGCTTGATTGGATTGATAGAGGTGGGTGTTGGGGGATGGAGGATTAGTCGGAGGATGAAAACGAAACAGGACTAGGTGGATTGTCCACTCCCATTCTTCTTTTGCCCAATCACTTCTAATTTTACATCTATACTATAGCTAGTGTGCTTCCTTTTGAGTGCTCCACCACCCTTTTTGGGTTGGGAACTCATGGCTACAAAAATTATAAAATAATTCACCGCAACATGCACGAAAAGACACAACAAAGACAGGATTAAACACAACACAGCACTGGACTGGAAGAAAAACTGAGAGGGAGACTGCTACAGGGACAGTGACCAGGACGTGTGTGTGTGCATGACTCCAGGAAGATGAAATTTCGATCGCTTCAGCTAAAATTCCGTAGATTTTATTGGGAGTTTTGAATCCATAGAATTTATCGTGAGTTTTCAGAGTTTTTCTGTGGAATCCACTTAAATGCAGGAACTTTTTATGTGGATGGTCACAAAACGTTGTCCACTTAACTGCAAAACCGCGAATAGTGAATACTCTTATATCGAGGACCTCCTGTACACAAATACACGATACACCATCAAGTTCTACTACATCTGGTTATAGAGCTTTTAATGTACAGTACTTTATTACACTGTAACTAATCTCTTCTTAATACTGCTTTTTACCACTACTACTATTACTACTGTACTACTTTGACTTGTGTCCTCACTTCAAAGTTCGTAAATGAAATGTGTTGACAACTTAAAGCAGCTAGCACACTCAGATGGCTGTAATTTCATTTGTAAAGGACAGTAGATTTATGCTCTCATCACTTTGGCTGCCATCTTTAAGAAACTCACTAGTGTATATCAGTGAAGTAGAATGTATGCAACCAAATTCACAGATGTCAGACAGAAAGATTACAAAAATGATCAAAATAGGGAGGAAGGGGAATGTGTTACTTTGCAGGTCGAAGTGTTGTTACTTATAAATCACTGTTACGGGTGTCAAGGGTAAACAGATGGTAGGAACATCAACATACCCACATATGTCACTCATTTAGTGTTCCAATTTGTGCTTATCTTTCCTTGTTATTGTTGCTATCCTGACACTTTTTTGGTCAGCTGTATTTTTTATCAATGTCAAAATGTTAGGCTTTTCTGTTTAGTAAGAATTGTTGGTTATATTTTATTGAACAATGTTATTTCCATTATCATGTTACCTACACTATAGTGTTACCTATACTATAATGTTACCTACACTATCACTTCAGTCCATTCCAACAATTGAGGCAGAAGAAGTTGGGGAAGAGAATTTCTTGCAGATGACTGTGAGTGAAGCAGCGGAAGAGACTGAAGAAGATGACGATTCAATTACAGAACCTGTCGATAGGAAGAACCATGAAGAACTGATCAAACGCCTCATGACTGATGGAATGTCTTTCTCAGAGGTATGGTAAATTGTGACATGTTTTTATGCCTCATTAGTCATTATAATAAAGTGTTGATCAGTGATGTAGCTAGTCAAGACCACTAAGTCCAGTACCAAGACCGAGAGCGAGCATAGATGTTGATGTGTCTGGAGGAATGATGAATTAATAGTTTAGGCTCATAGGAAAAGAGAATCTACAGACATGTCAAAATAAATCATTTAAACTACACTGTATACCATAAATTTTTTAAGAAGGGTAAATAATTATGACTGAAGTTGTTTAACAGTAGAATTATAATATTGGGCAAGAAATACAGTATTCATACAGTATAACCTCATTAGTGCCAATTTGGCTATTACGAACTTTGTCTAATTTGAAAAAATTTCTAGTTTGAACTTATCTCTATTTTGAACCACTCATCTAAGTTTGATTTATATCATCCTGATTCAAACTCAACTGAATTCACGCCATGGGGCCGCCACTCATAGGAATTCAGTTGTTTTAATGTTACAGTGTACAGTACAGTAAAAGCTACTTTTTAGGGGTAAAGCTAGGGATCTGAACAGAGGCTTCACAGCCAGTGTCCTATGATTAGTTTTCGTCATGTTTTACCCCACAGTTGTCCTCGTCCTTCATACCCTGCCCACTACAGGCAATTTGTGATTGTAGATAGAGAAAAACTAAAAACAAGTTCTTATAATTAAAATAAAAAGTTGTCGTGTTTTCTTTATTACTTACTATCATCCAAAGAACATGTGGAAAAAATGAATGAAATTGAACAACTTCTGGTGTTAGCCCTCTGCTTCAGTATTACTATGGAGGATTATTGTAGAATATTTTATTACTAGGAATATATTTCAAATTTATACAGTTGTACTGTAAGTAATAAAATCCCCTCTTATTTTGAAATATCTGGTACAGTATTTCGACCCCATTCCCCTCTCCCTTAATTCAAAATAATAAGGTTCTACTATACAGTACATTACAGTATATAATATCATAGCACTTTTTATATATACATAGGTAGCAGCATTGTGGGGGGAAGATGCTGATGCTGACAGTGATGTAGAGGATATTCCACCAGTCCCTGAAGGTACTGTTCTGGTGAAGGAGGATCATGCAGCTGAATTTGAAAAGGAGCTCAATGAACAACAACGGTAATGAGGTACTGCAGGTTGCAGTACAGTACACAGGAATGGAATAAGATGAGGATTTTTGAGACTGTAAACCTTTGTTTTCATGCGCGTTATATCCCTGAAGTTCTTGTGTAATTATGTAAATGTGATTCCAATATTTAATGGGAAAATAAGTGTAAGGCTTCTTGCATGAGCTTATTCAAGATAAAATTATTCTCCTGATGGCTGGTACCAAAGTTATCGAGTATCATTTTACTTACAGATACCAACTGAAACGCAAAGGTGGTGGAGAGAAGAGGAGGAGACGTCGCTTGCCAGCAGCCCTGCAGGGTCTCATGGGTGAGGCCAACTTACGCTATGCTCGTCGTGAATATGATGAGGCTATCAAGATGTGTATGGAAGTTATAAGACAGTTTTCACACTCACCTGAACCTTACCAGGTAACATTAAACGACTGAATAATCTATAAGATAATTGTCTTAATTGGCTAATACTGTATCAAAAAATGACATCTACATAGAATTCCCCCATTTTGCTTAGTCATTTTAAAAATGTATTTTTCCAATAATTTGACAGACTTTAGGGATGATATATGAGGAAAAGAAGATGGTGAACAAGTCTCTGCAGTTCCTTCTCATTGCTGCTTTTCTCAGTCCAAATGCAGAAGAATGGGAAAAGTTGGCTGATCTGTCTCTGCACCAGGTGTGTCACTTTATATATACTGTAGCGGAATATGTATGCTCATAACAGTACTGTACATTGCTGTATTAAAATGACAAGTTCAGAAGGTACAGTGGGGTATGCTATAACGAATCTAATTGGTTCTAGAACCTCGTCCGTTGTAGCATTCGTTCGTTATGGGATTAATCCTTTCCAGGCCCTCAAATACAACCACTTAACACTGAAAATTTTTTGTGGAAATTGTAAAAAATATGGTACTTTATCTTACCTTAGTGTTGTTAGCATGCAGGACAGGAGGCAGAGGGGGAGGGGGGAGGAGAGAATTATGGAGAAGAGATGGAAGGAGAGGAGTCATCCTTCCTAGCCCTCTTTGGTGATTGTCTCACAGGCACTTTGTCTGTTTCTTTATTATTTTTTTCTTAGTTTTAAGGTTTATTAGCTTTCTCACTCGCTTTTGATGATTCATTGTTACAATTGTACACTTGTATAACAAAATAGTTATAAAATAACACGAATTTCCACATCAAAAGACGAAATTTCAACAAGTTCAGTGGTGCACTGATTACACAATGAACCAATATGGCGCCTGACGCTCTTGTTGTGAGCCGCGGTACAACAATATTCATGCGCCAGACGAAATAGTCCTGTATTCATCCGCGTTCGTTGTAGGAGTTGCGTTCGTTATAGCATTCTCAATTTTATAGGTAAAACCATTCGTTATAGGAATATTCGTACTAGAATCCGTTCGTTATAGCATACCCCACTGTATAATGATGAGTATGCACAAGATTTAAAAAGAAAAATAGAGTACAGTACTGTACTGATGCTGAAGTCTGGAGCATAATGCATATACTTGATGCATGTTGTTTGAAGTAAATTTAAATGTGTTTAATTTTTTTGTATGTAAATATTTATTGCAACTATTTTTTCAATTTGCCAAAAATTATACTTGCAGGGTGATATCCAGCAAGCAGTGTTCTGCTGGGGCAGAGCTATTAAAGCTAATCCACAGAATTTAGACTATCACTGGGCTCGATGTGACCTTCTTGAGCAGTTAGGAGAAAAACTGAAAGCTCTGAAGGGCTACACACACATGCTCAAATATCTTAGAACTGACCAGGGAAAGGTAAGAAATTTATGGTTAAATGACATGATAATTCTGTAGTCTGGAATTTGGACAAGATCGTTTATGAATTAGTTATGCAAAAAGTAATTTATATTCCAATTAAATAAATATGAGAATAACAACATTAGAATGAGCATAATGTAAACCTAATGGTGATGTCATTACTTCAGCAAAGGATGACATGTTAAGGTGCTATATTTGGGGCGTTGTACAGCAGAGAAGCTATATTTGGTTTGAGAAATTTGAGTGAAAGGGTTTTAGAGGTCCAAAGAAATTTGTGTATCTGCTTTGTTGATAAGCTTTTGATAAGTTAAAACACAATAAACTTATAAAGGTCATGAAAAACATAAGTTTTAATGAAGATGTTAGAAATTTGAAAGATCTTTACTGGCAACAGGAGACTGCAGAGATAGTAAATAATGAGTAAGACAAGGCTGTGTTCTGTCTCCAACATTGTGTAATATATATTCAGAATTCTTAATAAGAGAAGTTATTAGTAACAATGAAGAAATCAAAGTTAATGGTAAAGTAATACACAATGCAGATGATACTACTCTTAGCATGGATAGTGAAGAGGCTTTACAAATGTATTGGTTTACAGATTAGTGGAAAAGGGTGAGGAATATGGGTTAAGAGATAATGCTGTAAAGACAAAGGTAATGGTTTTCCAAATTGGAAGTAAATCCTAAAATAAGAATAATGGGAGGAAACAAGGAATTTAAATATGTGAAAAAATTTTTGTAGGTGAAGCAAAAACTGCATTGAATAATTTAAAAGACCTAATAAAAAGGGAAATTGATTTCAGTTTGAGAAAAAGGCTATACAGGTACTGTTATATATGGTCAGGACTGTTGTGTGGGTTAGAAACTTAGACACTTGCAGCAGACACCAGAAAGAGGTTAGATGCCTCTCAAATGTGGTGTTATAGGCGAATGTTAAGAGTAAGTTGTACTGACAGGAAAACAAATGAGAAGTACTCAGGAAAGAAAAGAAAAATAAGATATTTTGGTCATACAATTAGGGATGAGAGGATAATAACAGAAATAGTAATGGGGAAAGTTGAGGGTAGGAGGACCAGGGTAAGGCAGAGACTGAGATGGATGAATATAATAAAAAACTGCCCCCCCAGAAAAATACAAAATCTTGGAGGATTGGTAAAAACAGCCCCAAAATGTTTAGAGTGGAGGACTGTGGTTTCCAACCCTTAGATATGAGGATGGTACTCTGCTCGATTGTCAGTACAGTATACAGTGGTCCCTCGGTTAATGAGCACGATCCGTTCTAGAAGGTTGCTCGTTAACCGAAACCATTGTTTCAATGGGTTTTTGGGTAATTGGTTCCAGCTCACCGAAAATTGTCTAAATTCAACAAAAAAGGTAGAAAAGTACACTTACTTTGAGGTGTGTATGTAGAAGGCTCCTGGATGATGATGAGAATTAGAATGGGGGTGTAGGAGAAGGGAGAAGAGAGGGCATTGGGGTGGAAGAGAAATCACCCCATGGTGCCATTTCACCCACAAAATTTTAGTTCTCTTGGTGTAATTCAAGATTATTTTCTTTAAATCAACACTGCACTGCATTATATATTGTCAATATGTAAAATACATTTCAAAATGACCAATAATTTGCTTGCAAACACAGAAAAAAGCGTTTAGTTGAAGAGTCTCAAGCAAGATGTTACCTCCACTGAAAAGACACAAAGACTGACGCCTGTATGGTGTGTTGAGAGGCTGGATGGTGCGCATAAAACTAGTTTCGTTACCTTCAATTATGTTCAATAATTGTTAAAATGACTAAAAAATTTAATATTAAACTTTTAAAATTATTGAATAGTACAGTGACCCCTCGTTTAACGAACACCTCGGTTAACGTAATTTCGATTAACGAACTGCCTTCCATAAGGATCTTCAATTCGGTTAACGAAAAAAAATTCGCTTAACGAACTTCTTACGAACCGACCTCAACATGTTTTCGCTTGCACTGACCGGGCAACCAGCTTTAGTATCAGTCCGCCAATACATTAATCGGTTCTAGGGCTTAAATTCCTTACTATTTTTGTAAATATCAAGAAGTTTATACTATTCAATAATTTTAAAAGTTTCATATTCAATTTTTTAGTCATTTTAACAATTATTGAACAAAATTTAAGGTAAAGTGACTAGTTTAATGCGCGGCATCCAGCCTCTTAACACAGCAAACAGGCGTCAGTCTCTCTCTGTTTTCACTGGAGGTAACATCTTGCTTGAGACTCTTCAACTAAACGCTTTTTTTCTGTGTTTCCAAGCAAATTATTGGTCATTTTGAAATATATTTTATATATTGACAATATATAATGCAGTGCAGCGTTGATTTAAAGAAAATAATCTTGAATTAAACCAGAGAGCTAAAATTTTATGGGTGAAATGGCACCATGGGGTGACTTCTCTTCCACCCCAATGCCTTCTCTTCTTCCTTCTCCTCCACCCCCATTCTAAATCCCATCATCATCATCATCATCCAGGAGCCTTCTACATACACACCTCAAAGTAAGTGAACTTTTCTACCATTTTTGTTGAATTTAGGAAATTTTCGGTGAGCTGGAACCAATTACCCAAAAACCCATTGAAACAATGGTTTCGTTAATCTAACGTTTCGGTTAACGAACGACCTTCTGAACGGATTGAGTTCGTTAACCGAGGCCACTGTATAAACTTCTTGATATTTGCTAAAATGGTAAGGAATTTAAGCCCTATAACCGGTTACTGTATTGGCAGACTAATACTACAGCTAGTGGACCGCCAAATGCAAGCGAAAACATGTTGAGGTCGGCTCGTAAGAAACTCGTTAATCGAGGGATTGCTCGTTAACCGAAGTTAAGAATCTTATGGAAGGTAACTCGTTAACCGAAATCTCGTTAACTGAGGCGCTCGTTAACCGAGGGACCACTGTATATGTTCAGTTTAGTGGTGTAAATCGGTCAAGTAGTACTTTTTTTTTTACAAATCTCAAGTATAGTAATAAACCTTGCTAGAAACATAGAAATGGTGTAAATATGTGAGTATGAGGTGAAAATATGTAGAACCACTTCCTATGCCTATTTTCACTTACATTTTGAAATACCTGTTTGTCTTGACTTTTGAATACTATATTGGTACAGTACGTACAGTATAGTATTTATAAAGGTAATTGACACCTTTCTTATCTTATGCCCTACTCTTGATCATAAACAGTTTGTGCTGAGACAGTTCAACAAACAGCCAGCAGAATAGAAAGTGTGTCATTACAGAGCCTTGAGCCCACTTGATTCAATACCGATTGTTGTCCTGGAAGTGGTTCTGGACACACGAGTCTGGTGCTTTTGTCCAGAAAATATTGAATAGCATGAATAAGAAACAAGGGATCCCTATGGCTTAGGGAGGGTGGTAGAGGTTACCAAACACCACTATATTTTATAACATATGCCTTTGAAAGGACCTTAACCCCTTCACTATGGGATGCCACTTTTACTGTTTTAGTTGGCTAATGCCAGATGATTTTATTCAGCACAGAGACACCCCTCTCCCCCATATACAAGGGTTAATATGTGAAAATTTGGTAAGAAATTTTTCAGTTGTAGGTATTTATAAATACATTTTTTAATTTGTAAGAACTGTTTTCATGGTTTTAAAGAAATAGATGATCAGTAGAGGATTACTGAAGGTGTTAACGCTCATAGGAGCGTTATTGGTTTGTTGCTGGAGAAATAAACCCTCAACGTTGACGCGTACCATATAATTCGGTCAAAACCTGTTAAAGAACAATTCACATAGGGGGTATAACAAATGCTGTCATCTCAGGACACATAGAATGAATAATACAATCAATATACAGTACATAGTCTGTCATATAACAAATGCTGTCATCTCAGGACACATAGAATGAATAATACAATCAATATACAGTACATAGTCTGTCATATAACAAATGCTGTCATCTCAGGACACATAGAATGAATAATACAATCAATATACAGTACATAGTCTGTCATATAACAAATGCAGTACATAGCCTGTCATATAACAAATGCTGTCATCTCAGGACACATAGAATGAATAATACAATCAATATACAGTACATAGTCTGTCATATAACAAATGCAGTACATAGCCTGTCATATAACAAATGCAGTACATAGCCTGTCATACAACAAATGCAGTACATAGCCTGTCATATAACAAATGCTGTCATCTCAGGACACACAGAATGAATAATACAATCAATATACAGTACATAGTCTGTCATACAACAAATGCAGTACATAGCCTGTCATATAACAAATGCAGTACATAGCCTGTCATATAACAAATGCTGTCATCTCAGGACACATAGAATGAATAATACAATCAATATACAGTACATAGTCTGTCATACAACAAATGCAGTACATAGCCTGTCATATAACAAATGCAGTACATAGCCTGTCATATAACAAATGCTGTCATCTCAGGACACACAGAATGAATAATACAATCAATATACAGTACATAGTCTGTCATATAACAAATGCAGTACATAGCCTGTCATATAACAAATGCTGTCATCTCAGGACACATAGAGTGAATAATACAATCAATATACAGTACATAGTCTGTCATATAACAAATGCAGTACATAGTCTGTCATATAACAAATGCTGTCATCTCAGGACACACAGAATGAATAATACAATCAATATACAGTACATAGTCTGTCATATAACAAATGCTGTCATCTCAGGACACATAGAATGAATAATACAATCAATATACAGTACATAGTCTGTCATATAACAAATGCAGTACATAGCCTGTCATATAACAAATGCAGTACATAGTCTGTCATATAACAAATGCAGTACATAGCCTGTCATATAACAAATGCAGTACATAGCCTGTCATATAACAAATGCAGTACATAGCCTGTCATATAACAAATGCTGTCATCTCAGGACACACAGAATGAATAATACAATCAATATACAGTACATAGTCTGTCATATAACAAATGCTGTCATCTCAGGACACATAGAATGAATAATACAATCAATATACAGTACATAGTCTGTCATATAACAAATGCAGTACATAGTCTGTCATATAACAAATGCAGTTACATAGCCTGTCATATAACAAATGCAGTACATAGCCTGTCATATAACAAATGCAGTACATAGCCTGTCATATAACAAATGCAGTACATAGCCTGTCATATAACAAATGCAGTACATAGCCTGTCATATAACAAATGCAGTACATAGCCTGTCATATAACAAATGCAGTACATAGCCTGTCATATAACAAATGCAGTACATAGTCTGTCATATAACAAATGCTGTCATCTCAGGACACATAGAATGAATAATACAATCAATATACAGTACATAGTCTGTCATACAACAAATGCAGTACATAGCCTGTCATATAACAAATGCTGTCATCTCAGGACACATAGAATGAATAATACAATCAATATACAGTACATAAATATACTTAGTAAAGTTATTTAGAGTTTATATTTACGTTTTAGGGTCTTGGGTTCGACCAGCGTGTTGTTTCTTCTGCAAGAATTGGTAGACTACTGAGCAATCGCCATCCATTCGCAGCCCTAGACGAGGGCATGTTTTATATTAGACGACCAACAAACACCTTGTCAGCACTGCCCCCCCCCCCTTCTCACCCTCTCTCTCTCTCTCTCTCGTTTATCTTACTGTGGCGGTAACAGAAAGCTTCTGTTTGATACTGTAATTCCTCTTTGTTCTTGGCATAACTTGTTGAAGACCGTATGTTTAAAGGGGCAGCTACCTTAGAAGGAACTACTGTAATTGAATAGGAGAGATTATATCAATGGTGGACAATTTCATCTTTTGAAGGAGAAAAGGACATGACTATTGGTTACATTTTGGAATGTATAATATGTGATTTACTGGTTTCACAATACAGCACACCAGTTTAGTTTGCAGTCTGTATACTGCACTGGTAGGGGGGTAGTGCAGCTACAACTTATGCATTGTGATACACTGTACTACAATTTCTTCTATTCCAGACTGTCTTGGTAAAGTACTATGGTAGTTTCAAAGGTGGTGCCTGCTACTGTGAACTTACATTCATGTGGAACAATTGTAATTCATCAACTTCAGCATTAGATTTGTGTATGGAAGTAGAATGAAGATTTTTTTTAAAACAAATTTTGAACAAAATATTTGTGTGGTTTAAGAAATACAGTCGGCCCTTAACATACGCGGGTTTAGCATACACGGATTTGTAAATACGCGGATTGCCCCGCCGGAGGAATATTCTGTACAATGAAGTAATTGAAGCACATTCAAATCGCGCGCAAATTCAACCCGCGCGTTGCACGGAACACGGGACACCGCCCGCTCCCGCAACCTCACACGCATAGCTCTCCCTCACTCGGTCAGTCAGTCTCCCTGTAACCACGCTTGTGTTGACATCAGCATTGTAGTTGCAAAAATACTACATTTCCGTGAATGTATTATATCAAGCACAGTATGAATAGAATATCACTATTATAACAGTATTTTAACCGAAAACTATTAAAAAAACGAGTAACATATCTTGAACATCGGAAGGTTAGGTAAAGTCTTTTGTTTTCATGTAGTTTATCCTAATTTACATCGAAATACATTATGTTTCAGCAAAACTACTATTTATTTCCGAGAATATGGAAATGTAATAGTTTTGCTGAAATGACGTACGTATTACAGTGGAAAGTGACGAAAGCAATGACTTTCGCTTTCTTTCGTCCAAAAGATGTTACCGTAATCGCTTTTCGAATGGTTTTCAGTTAAAAAACTTTTGTATTACAATAATATTCTATCCTAATTCACTTGTGATGCTACAGGTTTTTTAACTGAAAATCATTCAAAAGGCGATTCCAGTAACATCTTTTGAACGAAAGAAAGCAAGTCATTGTTTTCGTCACGATTTTATCCCACTTTCCACTGGAATATGTACGTCATTTCAGCAGAAATATTACATTTCCGTGAATGTAGTATGAATAGAATATCATTGTAATATAACAGTATTTTAACCGAAAACTATTATAAAAACGAGTAACATATCTTGAACATCGGAAGGTTAGGTAAAGTCTTTTGTTTTCGTCATGTATTTTATCCTATTTTACATTGAAATACATCACGTTTCAGCAAAACTACTATTTATTTCTGAGAATATATTCATTCAGGCGCAGTTTAGGTAAAATATACATGTGATGTAACATTTTTTCAACTGAAAACTATTCGAAAAACTCGTACCCTCTAGCCCTGTTCAAGGAGAAGACTGGGAGGAGCTGTTTGGTGTTGAAGATGATGACAAGGAAATGATTTTCATGGATTTTAATGAAAATATTCAGAAATATGGTATCGTAGTATTTATTCAAGTGAATTAGGATAGAATATTATTGTAATACAACAGTAGTGACGATGTGGAGGAGGCGGAGGGATAGAGCGGGGAGGAGGTGACTGGTGGGAGCAGGGACGAGTGGAGATGCCAGCCAGTACATTACGGGTGTACAGTATTAATTGTTTTTATAGCTATTTTTGCATTTTAATATTAAATACTGTACATTATGTTTCAACAAAACTACCATTTATTTCTGAGAACATGGAAATGTAATATTTTTGCTGAAATGATGTACGTATTACAGTGGAAAGTGGGATAAAATTGTGACAAAAGCAATGACTTTCGCTTTCTTTCGTTCAGAAGATGTTACCGTAATCACTTTTCGAATGGTTTTCAGTTGTGGGATTATAAGGCTAATGATAGGATAGAATATTATTGTAATACAGTACGAGTACAACAGTTTTTTAACTGAAAACCATTCAAAAAGCGATTACGGTAAAATCTTTTGAATAACGAAAGAAAGCGAAAGTCATTTTTTTCGTCATGATTTTATCCCACTTTCTACTGTAATATGTACGTCATTCCAGCAAAAATATTATATTTCCATATTTATTTCTGAAAATACATATATTCATTCAGTCACAGTTAAGTTAAAATATACTTGTGATGTAATGCAAGTAAATCACTGTAGGTGCACGTGATCTAGGTATATGCTGATAACCACAAGGAAAGAAGAACACACGAAGTTCCCAAGCATTTTCGTGTAATTCACATCTTCAGGGGTGAGTACAGACTAAAGAGAAATACAAACCAAGGTGTATATATACAGAGGAGGGTGAGACCAGGTCCACAATGGTCAGGTATTAGGTAATGACCCTACTAATCTTTAAATAGCACACAACGGTTGGTGGTCAGGTCAGATGGTCAGGTGACCCGACCTTCTCACCTGATTACAAATCTTCTTAATTACAAAATTGTCCAGCTTGTACATGCCGTTACTCAAATTCATGTTGAATGCTTCGGTATGTTTGATAAGACTAGATTCTATGATGTTCCTACTATCAATTGAATTACATGGTAATATTGAGGAGGCATTATCCCAGTCAATGCAACGCTTGTTATCCCTCAAATGAACAAACAGAGCATTGGATTCCTGGCCTGTCCTAACACTGTATTTGTGTTGTTTAATTCTAGTTGCAAGATCTTTACCTGTCTGGCCTAAGTAAAACATATTACATTCCTTGCAAGGAACTTTATAAATGCAACCAATTGTGTTGTTGGGGGAGTTCTTGATTAACATTTGTTTAACAGTGCATGAGTTTTTAAATGCCACATTGACGTTCCAGGTTTTTAGTTGTGAAGGAATGTGTGAGAAATTTTTGTGAAATGGTAATATTAAGATATTCTTATGGTCATGGGTGGGCTTGGGATCAGTTCTATAAAAAGTTTTCTTAGTAATGTTTAGGCATTTGTCTATGAAAGATCTAGGGTATTTAAGGTTTGAGCCAATATTATATATATATTTGTATTCCTCATCAATGAATTCCGGACTGCAAATTCTCAAGGCACGTAAAAACATTGGTTAAGGGCCGACTGTATTCAATTGTCGTCTAAATCATAATAGAAAACATTGTGGAGTGAAGTTTCCTTAATCATAAATACAATACTGTACTGTATATTGAGATTAGTAAGAATAATTGTTTTGGGCATATGAGAGAAAGAAGGTTTCAGGCAAGTGTAAAAGATTGTACTTAGATGGAAATTAGAAGACTCTTTGAAGGGTTTTGCTTGGGGTAATTTTTTTATGGAGAAAGTATATGTTAATCTACACCACGAAGATGCCAGGAAACCAGCTATTTTAAGTGAGACAGAGTTATGAGGATGGAAATACAATGTACAGAAGAAGCCAAACCATTCCACAGTTTGGCTGTGTGAGGAAAGAAGGAACTACTATAAGGGGTTATTCTTGTGTGACCGACATCCACACAGAAATGGTGGGCACCGCGGGCAAGACAAGTGTTACGAGCCCACTGCCTTGCCGGCAGTACACAGAATGCCAATGCACCAGACCTTGCCCATTAAAGTGCCTGTGAAAGAGGGTGAAGCTACAATGTGTCAAAGAGAAAGGGGTATGTTGTGAATGTGTGGCTTCCATGACATATTAGAGGAAATGTGGTTTGTTTGATTATAATTTGCTAGTGATTCAAGTTAGAAAATTTTGGGTAGAATGTATTGTACTGTACTATTCTGTATTTACTCCACAGGATGGTCTCAAACTGGCAAAAGAGATCGCAAAAATTCATTATGAGAACAAAGATGTGCATCTTGCCCGAGATGCAATGGAAACAGCCTTTAAAAAGTATCCTTCATATGTTACTGCTGAGGACGTTAACCTTATGCTAGAGGTCTTGATGCATCAGCAAGAGTATCTCCGCTGTATACAAATTCTCATACTTCATGGAAGAGTTCGTCTGCTACATGAGGTAAAGGTATTTAAGTTTTTGTAAAGCATTAAAGTAATTGGGTAATCTTGATTTTATATTTAATTAGGAATTTGAAAATATAAAAATCCATTGGTTGGCCAGAATGGTGATTAAGGTTGACCGAGAACACAAGAGTCACAAACTGTGTACAGTATACCGGTAGGTAATAAAGAAAATTCACTACTCCTGGTCATTCATTAGAGCAGCACAATGGATATTACAGTACAGGTTTCTCTCACTCTGGTCCCTCGTGTTGTGCAGATCACACTGCAGCCAACATATTTGTGTAATGGGTTATCATTATTCTGAAACTGCAGCTGAAGACTATAATAAGGGAATTACTAGTATGATACATAACACTGATAATTATTAAAAAAAATTTTGTGGATGTGAAATTGTGAAAGTAAAAGAGAAAGAGAGTGTGGCTTTGGAAAAACTGCAAAACATGTTTTGTTTTGTTTTTTTAATTATTATTTTAAGAAATATTGTACTGCATAGGTACTGTAATGAGAAGAGTTTGTCAATGAAGATTTCCCAAAGCAAAATCTCGCGCTGCTTTCCGTACTTTTCATTCTGGAACACAGGATGAAATGTTTAGATAACCCGGTATGCTGAAGTGTTGGTTTGCCTGCTCTACTTACCAGATACTTTCTTATGATAGCTTTACGAGTTTTCCAATGAAGCGATTTGTTTATATGTATTTGATTGATCTTTAGAGTTTTTGGAACGTTTCACACACTACTAATTTTATATCCTTGGATTATAACGATGTTTACTAGTGATTGAGGTGAAATTATGACAGCTGGCCTGCTGAAATAGGTATGAGTGTGTCTGATATGCCTGTGTGACTTATATGTCGTAAAATATACTAAGTTAAATGGCTTCATATAGATGTACTTTATGAGAAAACCAAATTTAACAGAATAATATGAGTTTATGGCATAAGTACAGTATAATTAGAAGTGTATGGCGTAAGTGCAATATTAATATTGTATATGTATACAGTACACACATATATGAGTGGTTGTAAAAATGTAGGTAGGCAGGAAGTCTTTTAATTACCTTGGGGAGTTGTTACATTGCCTTGCCAGCTGTTTCCACCCTGTGGGTTAGTGAAGGGCATCTTGTTGGGAGGATCTAAAAAGCTCCCCTTAAAAAGATTGTGTGTAAAGTAGGTGTAAATGACTCGTCCTTCTAAATTCTATACTTATATACCAATGTGGTGTTAATCATTAATGAGCAAGGCAGAGTTATTAGGATGCATGTTACAGTACTTGTTATGCTAAGATTTGATTAAGTTCATTCTTTCAAGCTTCAAAGCACACTAACCAGTGACAAGTTACATAAATTGGTTATTTTTAAGTAAATAAGAATGTACAGATGCTTATATGGAAGAATAGTACAAAAATAAAATTTTAGTGAGACTCAAAAATACCTAAAGCTTTGAAGTTTGTACTAAATTATATTGTATTAATGAATCTCCAAGCTAAAACAGGATATTTCATAATAGATAGATTAAACATACTGTACATTTTAAAAAATTTCTTGCTAAATTTGTTTCAGTTTGAGAATTTAATCTGTATATATATATAATTTTTATAGGATATTGATGAAGAAGAATTACATAAGCGAGAATCAGAGGAACAGCTGTTGGTGGCTACCGAATGTTTTGTTCCTCTTGATTTACCAATTGATCTGCGGACCAAGTTAACTGTTGCTCTCATCCATGCCAAGGCCTTTGAACTTGCTGCCCCACTAGTGGAGATGCTGATGAAGTAAGTATACTGTATAGTGTTAAATTTAATGTTCAAGTGTACACATCTAGGAAGGTAGAATAGCAGAAAGAAAAATGAAAGTGAGAAGCATGTGCACACAGTAAAATGAAAAGTAGTCCCCTGCGTCCCTTGCCAACCACAGAGGTTAGGTTCCATGGCCCCGGATAACACTCATCAAAGCCGAACTCAGTTGCCTGTTCCTTCACTAAACAATTCCTGTATTGTACATTTAATTAAATTTGAGTCAAATACATATAAAATAACTTAATGTATACGTATTAAATAGTAATAAAAATTTTACAGTACATCTCTGTGGAGGTGGCATGTTGCTATAAAATAAAGAAAATGAAGAGCCCTGGGTGTGCATGTGTGTGAAGTGAACATGTGGCTGGTCGCCAGGTTAGACTGTCCCTGTAGCTACATCCCCCTACCAGGCTAAGCTGTGTTAATGTTATTTTTCAACTTGTGTTTTCTGGTAGATATACTTAATTCTCTTAATTTTGTATTATTTTTTTTGTTTAGCTCTGTAACATGCACACACAATCATTCATACAGAATGTGTATAAAAAAATAAAAGATATAATTGTCATTAAGTAAAAAAACAAAGAATAAACATTTCTTACATCTGCGGGAGTTTGTGTCGGATCATGGGAGGGGAAGGTGGAAGGGGGGTTGGTGTTGGGATCTCAGCCTCTCTCTACCAGGCCAGGGTGTGAGCTGCATAATTGTTCTTTTTCAACTTGTAGTTTCGGGTAGCTGTACGTAATATTTTTTTTTTTTTTCCTTTACATAGCCACACAATCCTTAATACAGAATGTGCAAAAAAAAAAAGATTATCATAGAATTAAAAACATAATGAAAATAAAGATGTCTTACGTCCACAGGAGTTAGCCCACGATCGTGGGAGGGGAGCGTACTCCTCTCTCCTGTGTCCTCAGTGAAACGTTGTTCAAATGGCAATGCAATGTTTTTCTTTTCTTTTATTAGTACAGTATTATTTTTATTCATTTCTCACATTTACGGAGGAATACATTAGACCGTGGAGGGATAAAGACACCACACTAATCCATGGATACAGTAGAACGTCGATATAGCACGAGATACTTTCCAAGAGAGGTTGCTTTAAATTGATTTCGCACTAAATCGAAGTGTTGTTTCAATGGAATAATTTAGTTTGGTACTTGAGAAAAGCACAAAATACTAAAAAGACTGACAGTCTACCCAGATGCACCTCAGCCCATCTCCTAGAATAAACGAAACATTGTTTTTTGCAGTACTGTATTATGCTAAAACAAACACTCATAAATGAACACAGCAAAAATTATGGGACGCCAAATGGTCTGTTTACTCGCAATCAGCTGATGTCTGACAGTGGTCACGCTGGCACCGCGCACCACCCACCTCTCGTCCGACTCGCCAAGCACTTTCACTTTCCTCTCAACTTATTTTTTAATTACTTTACGCTATCTAAAATAGATTTTCACTCAACTTTAGCTAGGCAATTCATCCTCTGAATATGCAGAGCCCAACTTGACCAGCTCATCATCCATATCACTCTCCAAATTGGCATCCCACACTTAAAGCACCATTTCCTCGCTGCAGCGCTTCCAGCACCTTGATTTTCTGCTCCAGTGTAATTGCTTGCCTTGATTTCTTGGTCTTTGGGGTAGTTAATGATATAGTAGCTGGCCTCTTGGACTAGTGGCGATGGTTGACGCATGTGGTAGGAGGAGATAGTGTCACACAATATGTCCGTTCACTAGAGCGTCAGTGTGAGAACTGAGAATACGTGAGGGTGTGGGAGGGTAGCGGGCAGCCATGTAACGTGCCCAGAGACGTGTCTGGCGGGAAACATTTGGTGCGAAATTTTAAATAGTGTGTATTTCCATATTATGCGCCGGATTGACTTGCGTAAAATAGGAAAGATTCTCTTAAAATTAATACATTGTCCTTAATTGTGGGTGTCACTTTAAATCAATAATTTTAAATTGAATCGTTTTAAATCGACGTTCTACTGTATTCGAAATTCAATGCCGTGGTTGGTAAAATGGAATACAATAAAAACCATGGATACCCGAAATCCATAGATGGGAAATTTGTGGTGGCAAGGGTCTACTGGAGATGTTACATTTATCAGGAAACATAAATTCTAAAGCCAACTAGAATATGGGAGGTGGTAATTGCTGATGCTATCTAGCATTGTATAATCTTTGTTAAGCTTTGGTAATAGTTAGTTACAACTGGTGATAAGGTAGATGTTCTCTTAAGTTATTATATTTTTCATTTGTTAGTGAATCTGAGGAAGAGTTTGGAGATCTGTACCTAGATATTGCTGAAGCCTATATGAATGAAGACTGTCATGAAGCAGCCCTACCTCTTCTACGTCCACTGATAAACTCTAACCATTACAACGTGGCAGCTGTGTGGCTAAAGTATGGAGAGTGCCTGGCAGCTGTTGACCAGATGGAGGAAGCTGCTCAAGCATATTCTCAAGTAAGTTGGGGTGAATTTATGGCATTTGGTGGTGGATAACTTTTGACATACGAGAAAGTGAGTAAAAAAATTTATGTTTTCAGAGGGACAAGTACAGTTGACCAATTGGAAATTGCGACAAAATGTTCTGGAGCATGGAGACGTGGAAGCCCCCAGAGTAAACAAACAGAGGGGCCCTGTTCCAGACGTCTCCCTACACCAGAACATTTTGTCGTAGCTCCTACTGACTACAGGACATGTTTTTGTGGCTGTGAATGTTCAAGATCTCACAACTTTCAACTTTTTAAACTGTAAATTAGCTGTTTTCTAAGTTGTACACTCAAGAAATCAGTTAACCTATCAATACATCTTCTCTTCTACGTGGTCTGCTTACTGCCATTAATATTATTTGACATCATTCTAAGATAAGACAGTGATAGACAAGATATTGAAGCAAGTTGATTCAAACTACAATCTATACAAAATTGTGTTGAAAAAGGACACAACAGACAAAGGATTTTGGCAACCCTACTGAGAACAAGACTCGCAGTGTTCATTCTGAAAATCATCTCCCCCCCCCAATTAGCGATAGTTTTTTTGAGTGACTGTACATTGAAAAGCATTTATTGCTTGTGCCTGTATATACAGTTATAGTCATAAGTAATCATCTACTCCACCACTTAACTCCTGTGCCTGGTCAGGTCCTTTCTGCACAGCAAGTCATGTAGGGGAGAATGGTTGACTTGAGGGAGAGGTGTGGGAGGGTGGTATACAATACAAATTGCTCATTAGAGGGGGGAGAGAGATTGAAGAAAACAGGGAAATTCACTAAAAAAGGAAGGGAAAGATGAATGTACCTTCTAAGTTTTTTCACCATATTATCTTAGGTTTACATGCTTGAAGGAGTAATAGATGAGGACCCTTATTTTATGATTACAGTAATATAATGTGCCATCCATTTCCTTATTTATCATTGTTTCAGGTTATGGTTTAACAACGGTAATTAGATATTTACACTAACGTTGATATGAGGGTGGAAATTATATTTATTTTTAATATTTATCAACAAGTTTTTTAGCATTCATCCTGGGTTGGGGATAGTAGTAGCCAAACACCCAGCCACTACCACCTCATCACCTCTCTGATTTTCACAACTCTAATAAACATATTACAGGTTGGCCAAGTCACATTGTATCCAACAATTCATTCTTAATTTTTTTTTATTAATATTTTTTTCAAGAACAGTAGTGGCAGGAGGTGGAAGTTTAGTGTTACTGGTGGTGAGCGAGGTCAAACGCAAAGCTATGCCCCTCCTCTCTTAGGTTGTCACTTAGGGGGGCTTTCCATCACAGACGTTAGGCGCTGTATCAACCCTTATGGCACATTACCTGCCAAAAGCTCACTTGCATTCCACCCCAGAATCTCAAGTAATGGCATAGATAACTAAGGGAAAGTTAAGTCCATATGACACCTCCCCAGACACCCACCCTCCTGGTTGGTTGGTTGGGTAGTTGTTTGGGCTTTAGGCCTATCAACTGCCTGAGTCATTGTGGCTATCAACGTTAAGCTACATACACCAACCTTAACACCTTCAGGTGTTAAGGATAATTCTAAGACTACATACACCAGGGGTGGCCAACCTTTTACATACCATGCGTCAATTTGTTCACACACGAGTTCAGATGCGCCATACAACTCTTGTACCCCCGTCTACTTCTTGTAAAAATATGTTTATAGACATAATTAGCATTTTTACATGATAAAATTATTAAATATAAAAACAATATCTGATAAAGCAGATAAACATTACTTACCTTTAATGAGACTTTTCAGTCTGTTTTGATTTCGCCAGTCTTTCAATGTTCGGAGTTAAATTTGTTACTGAGAGCAGCAGAGAATTCTTCAAATTTGAATCAGTCATTCGCGACCTCGTTTTGCTTTTAATCAATTTCATATATAACTGGGCAAATTTTCTTAGTTCTGGGAAATTTTCACAGGGTAATGATCGCCAGAAATTAATAATGTCAGAAGCATTTGGGACTGAGGAAAGCTCATCAAATTTCATTTTCAATAATGAATTTGTTTTCAAGTCAATAAGTTCCATTTGTATGTCACTAGGCATCTTCATTATTTTTTGTTCACTAAGTGAAAATGGGTTTATAAATGCGAGTATGCAGTCGTCTTCTTCAGCAAAATCACGAAAACGACTTTCGAATGACTTGCAATAACTTGATTTTTCCAGTATAGTTTGTCAAATTGCCATTATCAGCAGCACATTCACTCTGCTCTTTTAAGTGCGGAAGCTGGCTCAAATCCTCATTTTCTAACTGAGAGATGAACAGTTTTAACTTCATCTTGAATGCATTGATGTCATTTACTAAGCTAGGAAACAATTTGCTCTTGCCCTGCAGTTTTAAATTTAGATCATTGAGATGTCTGGTAACATCAACTAAAAATGCCAAATCAAATAGCCAGTTTTTATCACATAAAAGGGCTCTTTCCTCAGGTAGCTCATTTTTCTCTTCTAGAAAATTATGAACAGTATTTTTCAGTTTCCAAAACCTACTCAGAACCTGTCCTCTAGAAAGCCAGCGCACCTTACAATGAAGGACAAGGTCACCATATTCCAAATCTAACATTTCACAATATTCTCTGAATTCTCGTCTGATTAATGCTCTTGCTCTAATTTTATTCACACATTTCACAACCGGTAACATAACATGCTGCAAATTTAAAGTTTTTCCACACAGTGACTCTTGGTGTATAATGCAGTGATATTTTAGTAGAGGACGATTTAAAAAGTTTTCAAGCAAAGTTGTAGTCCCGGCAACTTTACCTATCATTGACGGCGCTCTGTCAGTACACACAGTGATGAGTTTACTAGAATCTAATTGTAGATTTTCTAGGCATGATTTTACTTTGTCAATTATGTCTGATCCTCTTGTTTTTCCATAAAGCGACTCAAGACTGACAAGTCCTTCAAAGACACTAAAATGATCATCAATTCCTCTTATAAAAATGCTTAACTGGGCTACATCACATATGTCAGTTGATTCGTCCAAAGCTAAAGAAAAGAAATTACAAGAATGGACAAGGTCTTTCAGTTGGTGAGATACATCATGATTGAGTTCCTCGGTACGTCTCGTAACTGTCTGCTTTGAAAGAGCAATTTCGTCTGCTTTCCTTTCAATACTTTTATCACCAAGACGTCTTGCAAATATTTGGAGACAAGGCTTAACAATTTCTTCTCCATCAGAGAAAGACTTCCTTTTTTTTTGCCAACGCTAAAGCAATTTCATAGGACGCTTCTGTCATCGACAAACTTTCACAACTTTTTTTAACAAATACATTTGTCTTCTTCTGAATTCTTCCTTTTTCTTAGTCACATATTATTTCCATAACTCAGACCTAAGCACGAGCTTCAGTTTTCCTTCTATTTCAGTCTGATGCTGTGCACAAATAATAAAATCGCTAAAAATAATGAGTAGGCTTACTGCCTTACTTTATTATTATCACAGGGATGCAATGCGCCACGTCTAATCATCCAATGCACCACGTTTGGCGCATGCGCCGGAGGTTGGCCATCCCTGACATACACTCTCACTATGTATGTGGCCCTTGACTTGCACCCTCCTACCCTACCAGGGTCCACCACCCCGAGCTCAACCCCATCAATACCTCCCACTTTTTATGACCTGTCATATAAAAAAAGCTTTGAGCTCACAGGTATGGTAGTACAGGTTGTACCTCTCTAGTCCGGCAACCTCGGGACCTGACCGGTGCCGGACCATGGAAATTCACCCTTTTCCTGGATAGATAGTGACTTGTGCTTATGCTTGAAAGCACTAGCACCACTTTCTCTGCACCATGGTCCCTTTGAAGACATATTGAAGGGTTAAATGTCGTATAGTAGCTTCTCAAATTTCGCGAGTTTTTAATTCTTAACGTATTTTATTGGAACACAAAAAAAAATAATTAAAAATTTTGACGGCGGAAACTTGAATTTCGACGAGTTTGAACGGCCTGCCAACGTGCAGACGACGTGCATAATCGTGTAAACAGTGTCATTTCTCTTATGTATAAAAGATTCATTATTGTTTATTACTGAATGTCTTTTTTATTGAATTAATGTTTATGTGTGCAAAATGAGCAATACAATTCATTAATAATACATACAGTGAGTTCTGCTATAACGCGTGTTTTGACAACGCGAATTGGCTCTAACGCGATTTATGAATAGAGGAAGATATTTCTATAACGCGAACGCTTGTTTGCTGTAACGCGATTTTTGCTTACTATTTCTCCAATTTTGTGGTATTAACTGTGAATATGATAAAGAAGAATATCTCCAAGAAGCGTTCTGGTGATCGCATTCCCGGTGATGATCGTAAAAGAAAGGCTATAACACTTGAAGAGAAGCTCGATGTTATCAACCTCAAAATCACCCTTCTCCCCTATCAAGTTATATTCATATTTTTTCAAGGTAAAGCGTTACATTTACTCTATGATTTCATTATTAGATATGAATGTAACATTTATTTAGACTGTGCTATCCTTTGTGTTAGGCTAACTACTAAATTTTTTTCGAGTAGTAATCTGCACCTAACCCTATTTTCTCCATAAGCCCTGTTATTTCTATTACGCGAATTTCTATAACATGATGTTTTACAAGAACACAACTATCGCATTATAGCAGAACTGACTGTAGAATATTAAAACACACGAGGAAATGACACAGCATTGTTTTCGTTGATTACAAAACCAATGACTGACTGGTTCTACATATAAAACTGAAGAAAATAAGGCCTTGGTTGTAGCTGTAGTAAAATTAATATGGTTGTTTTAAGTAATGTTATTTAATGTTAATAAATGGAGCAATAGAAGTAGCTAACGATAATGGTAAAGAAAAAAGAGAGATCGCGAATGTAAGTGCGCACACGTGAAAATATATTGTCATTACTTTACATAAGAATATGAAAGCAACACTTATTTACTGTTCATATATATTTTAATTAATGTTTCTGAATTTGTTTTTATTGAATTAATGTTTGTGTGCAAAATTAACAATACAATTTATTAATAATACGTGGAATATTTGAGGAGACAAGACGGCTGCCGGCATTGTTTATGTTAAAGCTTACAAAACCAGTGACTGATTGGTTCTACATATAAAACTGAAGAAAATAAGACCCTGATTGTAGCTGTAGTAAAATTAATGTAAAAAAATAATATGGTTGTTTGAAGTACAGTAGGGGTATGCTATAACGAACGTAATTGGTTCCAGAACCTCGTTCGTTATAGCATTCGTTCGTTATAGGATTAATCCGTTCCAGGCCCCCAAATACAACCACTTAACACTGAAAAAATTCTGTGGAAAATGTAAAAAATACGGTACTTTATCTTACCTTAGTGTTATTCAGCATGCAGGTACCCCTAAACACTGGCACATCACTATCACTTCCACTGGGAGTCTTGGCTTTAAGGTCCTCAAACAATTGTCTGGCCTTCTCACAAATTATAGCTTCACTAATGTTACCACCTGCCATTTCTTTCTCCTTTATCCACACTAAGAGTAAATTTTCCATCTCTTCAATCACATTACACTTTGCTTTGCTAAGTCTAAAGATTCCCTTAGCCACTTGCACAGTTTTTAACTCCTCTTTATTCTTCAAAATCGTACATATAGTCGATTTAGCCATCCCATATTCATCACTAAGTTTCGCAATGCTTCTTCCATTCTCACGTTTCTTTATAATTTCTTTCTTAGTTTCAAGGGTTATTAGCTTTCTCACTCGCTTTGGACGACTCATTGTTACAATTGTATACTTGTATAACAAAATAGTTATACAAATAACGCGAATTTCCACATCAAAAGACGAAATTTCAACAATAACAGTGGTGCACTGGCTACACAATGAGACAAAGATGGCGCCTGACGCTCTTGTTGTGGGTCGCGGTACAACAATATTCATGCGCCAGGCGAAATAGTCCCGTATTCATCCGCGTTCGTTGTAGGAGTTGCGTTCGTTATAGCATTCTCAATTTTATAGGTAAAACCGTTCGTTATAGGAATATTCGTAGTAGGATCCGTTCGTTATAGCATACCCCACTGTACCTGTAATGTTATTTAATGTTAATAAAAGGAACAATATAAGTAGCTAACCATTAATGGTAAAAAAAGTGAGATTGCGCGTATGTAAGTGCGCACATGTGAAAACATATCGTCATTACTCTACATAAGAATATGAAAGCAACACTTATTTCCTGCTCATATATATTGAAGGATTAAATGTTGTACTCTGTTTAGACAAGCAGAGAGAGAGAGAGAGAGAGAGCAGCCGAACTGCCGGATGTAAACAAACCTTAATTTCCCGCGGCTTTGTTGTTTGTTTTTTTAAGGGGATTAGCCCACCCGGGCATAGGTCACTGACCCACATTGGGGCCTGAGGGGCAAAAATTTAATACTCCTGTAATAATAAAAATAATTCAGATAAGTAAAAAAAAAAGAAAAAAAAAAGCTACCTATTTACCTATTGGACAAACTAAAATCATTCCGGACCACGGGAGTTTCCGGACCACAGAATGCCGGACTAGAGAGGTACAACCTGTAGGAGGGAGATGGATGAGACTTTTGTCTACGACCTAACACTCTTTGAAGGGTCCAAGGTGACAGCAAACCTCTTTGAGTATTTACCAAGAAACACTGGCTCACACACGGTGTCCACATCAGCTTCAACACTTTTATGATAATTGGAAACAGGTCAAATGAGGTCACTAAGACAAGTCAATGATGGAAAGCAGGGTTGCTTTTGGGGCAGGCAAGGGATTCAGGACAACAAGCTACATTTGCCAGTTTTGGGTTAGGACATGTGTGTTTACATAGCTTTTGGATGCCCATTTGATGTACAGTATATTGTGCCTGTGTTGTTTAGGGAGGTATTGTCTGAAAGGCCATGCTGAATAGCATTAAATTGTTTATAGTTTGATTAATTTATTTAATTACCATATTTCTCATCTTTCCACAGGTTGTACAATTAGCACCACAACATGCAGAAGCCAGATTGACTCTTTCCTCAATTTTGCAATCACTTGGTCGCCTGGATGAAGCTTTGCTCATCCTCAACCAAGAGAGTGACTCTGAACCCCTGGACTCCCAGCTTCTGTATCAGCGCTGCAAAATTCTCTTAGACCAAGGTCTTGTTGATGAATTCATCAACGCTGCAAAACTCCTTTTCCGCAGACATTTCATTCATATTCGGTGAGAACAAAGTCACTCTACTCTAACATAGTATTATTGTGCACCAGAATTTAATATATTAAGTTTAACTTAACATGGAGGCAACTCTTTCTAATGTGAAATCGATATGGAGATAGGTCCTTTGATGTTTAATTAATTCTGTAGAGAGAGACAGCTTAACAGTACAGTACCAGTCATGAAAGAAGTAAATTTTACTTGTCCAGTACTACAGGCAGTCCCCAGGTTACAAACACACACAAAAATCTGTAACTAAAAGCCAATTTTTTTTAATTACAGTAATTTCATTAATCTATATTACTTAACATCATTTTATTTACAGAACAGTATTTACATTATTTATGTACTGTATTGGATATTATTTTTGTTTTGTATGGACAGGGTTGTAACTAAAATCCCATTTTTTTTTTATTTCTTTACATGTTTAACCTCACTTTATTTAAAGTTATCTGAATTTGAAAGTCTTTCATAGTAGCTATGTTATTTAATGTGTGTGGAAAATCATCAACCCTTTCTAATGCCTCCAAGTTCAATTTCATAAAATGAGGATATTAAAATCATATTAACTGCCTATAACTGTTCGCTTCCTAGACCTCAATAATGGGAACACATGTTCATCTTCTAATGTACAGAGATTTACACATTTACTCTTCTAAATCTACCATTCAGATAATAATCACTCTGTACAGGTGGCCTATCAAAAATCCGGCAACCGATAAACCGGAACCTTCAGTTTTCCGGCATGGATTTCGGAGCGCATTTTCAAATATTTCTTTGTTTATTTAATGAAGATATATGTTTTAGCTCATAAAATTCATACAAATTGCCCGGCCAGAATATAATATACATTGCTGGAATTCTTACAATTTGATGATCATTTTGAATATAAACATCATAGATTTTGCATTAGACATACCAATTTTAGATATAATGTTTACTCTGAGTAAATATGTTATATGTGCAAAATATATGAAATTTATATTCAAAATATTCCTGGTCTTACAAGGAATCCAGCAATGTCAATTATATTATCCTAACTTAAGTGTTTAATTTTTCTTTGTTTAAAGGACTGTACAGCTAGTCATTTCCTGTTAAACTTATACAGCAAATATAACCATCAGTTTTCCGGCATTTTCGAAAATCCGCCACTCCTCAGGACCCGAGGTTGCCGGATTTTTGATAGGCCACCTGTATTATGAGAAAAGAATAAATAATATTGGTCAGGTTAATATCAGTAAATAATTTAATATTTTATTACAGCTTTGAGAGTTTCGGACACAGTAGTTATGGTTCACTGAACTTCATTCTTGGAAACAAACTCATGGGTATATGACAAGTAGAGTGATGATAGAACTGGTGGTACAGTAAAAACCCTATAATTCGTACTCACTTAATTCAAAATCACTCATAATTCGTAATGTTTTGCTGTTACGAAATGTATGTTACAGATTTCGTAATACAGTAATATCTCTGTTAGCCGGAATCCCTCAAACCCGGAACTCTCCGATAGCCGGAATTGAAATTTTCCAAGGGGCACATTTTCCGGAAAATTCAGAAAAAAAAATTTCCCGAAACCCGGAAAATTCCGGGGATGAGGCAGTTTTTTCCGGGTTTGAGAGATGAAAATCAGTCGCATTTCATGAAATTCCGAGAACAAATTTTCTGTTACCCGGAAAATTCCGGGTATAAGGGTTAATTTTCCGGGTTCGAGACAGTCGTCTCGTTACCCGGAAATCTCTCATTCCCGGAAGTGCTCTGCACCAATTGTTCCGGCTAATACATGTAACAATTTTCATAACATCTGGTAAAATTTTGAATTATGAGAGACATTTACGAATATGTATGACACACACGTCACCATTGGATGCGACCGCCCGCCTCATTGAAAACAACTACTGGGTATACGCGTATTGGTCAGATCACGTGGGTTAGTCATGGTGTAAGAGCGGGGCTGCTACTACTTACTGCTGAGCCACCAAAGCCACCATTTGTAAGAGCTGCCACCCTGTAAGGGCTTGGCACTCTTACAACAACTTATGTTAATACTCTGACTTGGTAGCGTGACGTGAGAGGAAGGCCCATGGGTACATGTAATTATAGTATCGAGTATTAGGGAAAGAGCAACGGTGAATACTATAGGTGAATCATAGACCCACATACAAATACACTGTTTATTGAAACACAAAAATGGTTACAGAAAAGACATTGTATGCACCCAAAATAGGAACTCCTGGTACCACGCCCCCAGGCTTAATTTACTTGCACCACTACTCGGTGTGCCCACACCAAAACACACAAACTCTTACCGCACCGTAGTACCATTAAAACCAGTGGCACTTGCCAGTACAACACTCAATACCCCAGGACCCCAGGGGCAATACTCCAGCGGCCGCCATGGGAGTCTCATCACCAGGTGACACCTTCCAACATACTCCGATAATTCCGGTGGACTAACACCACCACACAAATAGCCCCACCGAGTTATGTACTGTACTCATCCACCAATGACGGGGGCTGGCAGTAGTTTGGGGGCTTGATGATCCGGGTTCACCACGGGTGGCATGGCTTTAGGGGAATCCACTACCACCTATGGGGCCCACAGGTGGTAGTGGAGCTTCTGACGGTCGGGGTTCACGGGGATACCCGACTCCACTGGACCTCAGACATCTCCCAAGACTAGTGAATGCATCATCCACGCTACGGACACGGCCCAGGCTGCATTAGGGACCTGTTGGTGGGGAGTGTGGCAGCTTACTCACGGTTTGTATCGAACCTCAACGTTTCAAAGGGACGTTAAGGAGATAAAATACTTCACTCAAAGCACATCAACTACGTTACTGTAACACTTGCACAATCAAACTATTAATTAGGTCAAATCACTTAAAAAATGGCGAATTACAACACGGAGAAGGTGGAATGACCTACCTGTTGGTGGGGAGTGTGGCGGCTTACTGATTTGAAAACCAACCGCCGCCTTCCACCCACGCTAAAGTCACGGATTCCACCTACTCAACCATTTCACTGAATTACGTTACTGTAACACTGACATTTGAAACTGAGACTACGAACTCAGTTTCATTCCCCACTATTATCTTCACAAAAATGCTCTGACTGAGCTATCAAAAGCAAGAATTAAATTGATCACAAAAGGTTGGATGGCAACAGGTCCCAACATGCAACGCCTTGCTACAAACGTGAGGAGCAGATTCGAAAGGTTTCCTTCAGAGTATTAACTAATTCCTCAGTTAACCTCCCTACCACAATTTCACTATAATTATCAGTCTCTGATACTCATAGGTGAAAAAAAAAAGGTTTACAGGGTCTCGGTAGCAGAAAGAGTTTACAACTACGGTCACCAAACACAGGACAACTCGATGACGTCATCAAAGAAACAGAGAGAACGGAGGACATTTCCACTGGGAGACTCACAAGGTTTTGTGGACGTGTAAGCGCAATATGGATCATTAGTTTAGCAGGTTAGCCGTCATTACGGTCATGACAATGGAGTGCATGTCTCTGACCTACTGCGCAAGCTTTCTCCACTTGTTTTTCCACCATTGCCCAGTGTTTGAGCCATTATGTCTGATAACCTGAATCTGGTAATGTACTTAGCAACGTTTAAATTTTGATTGGGGCAGACAACGGAAAATTACCGTTGTTTTGTTTGTTTTTTCCGCAGGAAATGGTATCCCTCATAATTCGTAAAATCTCATAATTCGTAAGGGATAGAACCCCTATTATTTAAAATTATGGGCGTTTTATTGTAATGTATTGATATTTTTTACTTAGGATGTGGTAGTAATAGAGATGGAGACAGTAAGCCACATCCCCAATTATTCATAGTTTAACAATAATTTTGCTCAACATTAGATTTTCAGGAACACAACCCCATTGTTAACAAGGGATACCTGTAATCAATTTTTACCTCCTAACACTGCTTAATGGTATTCTTGGCTGATTATATCCTGGTACAGTAATGAACAGTAGTACTGCACAATACAGATCGTATGTGAAAACATTAGTGTGCGAGCTAACAAGCCTGTTCAGTGGCAGACTTTTGCTTGCAGACAGTGAATTAAGAATGTCATGATGCAAGAGTTTGAAGAGATAGGCTGCGAGATACATCAGCCAATCATAGGCATCCCATGCAGTCACATGACAGTTATAGCCAATCGTAGCTCACAAGCACTCTTGAGCCTACCCATGCAAGTGCCCTGACACGTCCCTGGTTTAGAAACTTGATGTAATATCTTGGAAATTCATTCCCATGCCCGGAACACAGATTTTCTTGAAATTTTCTGGAAATGCTCATGGTGCTATTTTCAGAAATTTGTTCGGATACTGTACTTGGAATGGAGAGATTTTTCCTTCTTTTCCCACTGATATTAAGATGTAACAATTTGACAGCTTGTTTTGCTTGGACAGCGGTGTAGGGGGGCAGCAGTAGACTCAGTCACCCACTGGATGTCTAGCCCCTGAGGCCATCATGGGCTAGACTTCTAGTGGGTGACTGACTGTACCATGTTATGAGAATGGGGACTTTGGGTCTCTCGGGTTTCTAGATGTTCCATAATATTTTTATTATTAAATGGGAAAGCTTTCCCTTGTTACAATCATGGACCTGTAATACACTCGTAAAGGATTTTGTGGCCGGACTGTTATGTAGGAATGTAATTCAACAATAGTATCCAGGCCACTTTAGTCCAGTATTTCTTGTTCCAAAAGCTTCAGATATCAGATCAAATGTTCTGCCAGTGAAACACTTCCTCAAACACTCTGGTGTACCAGGTGGCCTTGGGCATCACAATAGTCTAACTAAGTCCAGGCCCCTGTAAGAAGGACTTTGCTTTTAGTTTTGAGTTTTGACTTTCTTTACCCTCTACAGGGGCAGAATGAGTACCTCTCCATTTAGTTGTCATATGAGAGATAAGTCTAGTTTCCTTAAAATTTTTCCCCCATGTTCAAAATTTTTGGAGAAATATCTTTTCTTACATGCTAAGTGTCCAGGTCATATGTGACCAATCACACTGTCGCAACATTAAATATCTTGCTTTGGATGTTGACATCAGAGTGGATGTCAGATCCAGCCAGAGTCCTTCTCCTGGATTCTTTTCTTTGGGGTTTGTCCTTTGATAGAGTTGCTTGCAATGTTGAGTGATTAAATACCCTAGCTTTTGTATCACTAATACTTCAAGAGAGTTCCATTAGAGGAAGAGTTTTCCATGGATTGGAACCAGAAGGATCAGATTTAACTATTCCTCCTCTAGAATGTTGCATACTCAGAAACTTAAGCAGTTATGAGGAATTACTACAGTGACACTTTTTCATTCTTACATTACTTTCTAAAAGTATCATTTAGTGTTTTGCTCTTACTCAATCTATGTGTACTAAATTGGCTGAATTTTGGGATCCAAAAATCCCAGAAATTAGATAAAGATTTAAGAAATTTAACAGATTCTTGAAATTTTACTTGACTTTGTTTCTGTTCTACTAAATCAGTATTTTTGTGAAATATTTATGGTCTGTTGCTAATAATGTAAATAATCTTTGTGGGCTATTCACAGAAATCGAGATGAAGCAGAAGCTATGTTGAGCAACAAAAAATTAAGTAATAAATATGAAGCAATTCGTGAGTTGCGTCGATCTAAAAATGAAAATCTTGAAGACAATGGTCCAGCATATACAGGACCTGATGTTCCTTTAGATCATCAATGGCAACTATTCACCTCTGTGTGCACTACTCTTCATGAAAAGAACAGGTAATGTTTACTGTCATGGAACAGGGAGAATTTTCCTGACATCTTCCTTAAATTATAGTTAAAAGACTTACTATAGGTATCGACCCTCAACACCGGATCTCAGAAAACCAGAGATTCTAAAAAAAAAGGAATACATTCTTCTCTGGATTAGGTTAATTTTTTCCTGGCTAAATATTTGCTTAGTTCCTTAAAAAATAATATATATATATATATATATATATATATATATATATATATATATATATATATATATATATATATATATATATATATATATATATATATATATATATATATACAGGTTGTACCTCTCTAGTCCGGCAACCTCTGGACTTGACCGGTGCCGGATCATGGAAATTGTCGGACCATGGAAATTCACCCTTATCCTGGATACATAGTGACTTGTGCTTATGCTTGGAAGCACTAGCACCACTTTCTCTGCATCATGGTCTCTTTGAAGACATATTGAAGGGTTAAATGTCGTATAGTAGCTTCTCAAATTTCGCGAGTTTTTAATTCTTAACGTATTTTATTGGAACACACCAAAAAAAAAATAAAAAAAAATTTGACGGTGGAAACTTGAATTTCGACGGGTTTGAACGGCCCGCCAACGTGCAGACGACGTGCATAATCGTGTAAACAGCGTCATTTCTCTTATGCACAAAAGATTCATTATTGTTTATTACTGAATGTCTTTTTTATTGAATTAATGTTTGTGTGTGCAAAATGAGCAATACAATTCATTAATAATACGTAGAATATTAAACCTTACGAGGAAATGACACAGCATTGTTTTCGTTGATTACAAAGCCAGTGACTGACTGGTTCTACATATAAAACTGAAGAAAATAAGACCTTGGTTGTAGCTGTAGTAAAATTAATATGGTTGTTTTAAGTAATGTTATTTAATGTTAATAAATGGAACAATAGAAGTAGCTAACGATAATGGTAAAGAAAAAAGAGAGATCGCGTATGTAAGTGCGCACACGTGAAAACATATCGTCATTACTTTACATAAGACTATGAAAGCAACACTTATTTACTGTTCATATATGTTTTAATTAATGTTTCTGAATTTGTTTTTATTGAATTAATGTGTGTGTGTGTGCAAAATTAACACTACAATTTATTATTAATACGTCGAATATTAGAGGAGACGAGACCGCTGCCGGCATTGTTTATGTTAAAGTTTACGAAACCAGTGACTGATTGGTTCTACATATAAAACTGAAGAAAATAAGACCTTGATTTTAGCTGTAGTAAAATTAATGTAAAAAAATTAATATGGTTGTTTGAAGTACCTGTAATGTTAATTAGTGTTAATAAATGGAACAATATAAGTAGCTAACCATTAATGGTAAAAAAAAGTGAGACTGCGCATATGTAAGTGTGCACATGTGAAAACATATCGACATTACTCTACATAAGAATATGAAAGCAACACTTATTTACTGCTCATATATATTGAAGGGTTAAATGTTGTACTCTGTATAGACAAGCAGAGAGAGAGAGAGAGTAGCCGAACTGCCTGATGTAAACAAACCTTAATTTCCTGCGGCTTTGTTTTTTTGGTGGTTTTTTTTTAAGGGGATTAGCCCACCTGGGCATAGGTCACTGACCCACATTGGGGCCTGAGGGGCATAAATTTAATACTCCTGCAATAATAATTCAGATAAGTAAAAAAAAAAAAACCTGCCTATCTACCTATTGGACAAACTAAAATCGTTCCGGACCACGGGAGTTTCCGGACCACAGAATGCCGGACTAGAGAGGTACAACTTGTACTGTGTACTGCATAACAGTAGTAAAGGTCCCTATAATCTCTTGTGACTCTTATTACAGCTGCTTAATGTTCACACTCGCCGCACTAAGGGAGTATCTAAGTTTTCTATTGGGTAGTGTCACAGTAAACACACTGAAGGGGTAATTTGTATGTTGTATTGTACCAGTGTCTGTGTATATAATGTTAAGTGTGTGTACTGATAGTATTAAGGGAGAACTCAAGGTACTGTTGTATGTTGTATTATACCAGTGTCTGTGTATATAATGTTAAGTGTGTGTACTGATAGTATTAAGGGAGAACTCAAGGTACTGTTGTATGTTGTATTATACCAGTGTCTGTTTATATAATGTTAAGTGTGTAATGATAGTATTAAGGTCTGTTATTTTGTATGGAGAAGAAGAGACCTTCATTTATGAGAGAAAGTTAGTTATGTTTGTGTGGTGCTGTGACCTTGGGGAAGGTCAACTATTTTTGTATTGTCAGAGTGTAGTATTTTTATTATGTCTAAAATACATTAGTTATAACTACTGGTTGGTGTTTCACCCTTCCTTCCACCCTCAACTTTTATTAATGAAAAACACAAACTCACACTGCTACAGTATACTAAACTCACACTGCTAGACTTCTTTGCCAGCTCCCCAAAGAACAGGCGGCTCGTGCATAGGGCTGCAGAGCTGCAGTCCCCCCAGACACTCACTGCCAGGTGTATGATTCCTTTAGAGAGACAGCTGAATAATACACTACCAACAAATATATCATTTTATATGTTATTTAATTATTTTCAATACGTTGCTAAGTGAATTTTCATTAAAATCAGACCAAAATTTAAGTTACTTTCATAGTTGCTGTCAATGCTGTACGATTCATGTCTGTTATTAATTGGCGCCGCCGCCGCACTTCTGAAGCAGCTCAGTCTCGTACAACGTGTTTACATTGCGTGTGGACGGTGTGGTTAAATCGTGCTTTCTTTAATTACCCTTTGACGATGGAAAATTGAGTGAAGTATTTGCAAAACATCAACTTTTCCCAGCTGACATTAAATGAAAAGACTGAAATCAAAGCAAGAGGAAGACCTACACCAGTTTTATCCATTCAACAGAACAGTACAAGCAGGAACAAAGAATATACACGCCAGTTTAACATCAGTGTTTATCAGAAATGTGAATGGCTCTGTGGTTGTGACGAGGCAAATACTTTATTCTGCTTTCCATGCTTATTGTTTGGTGGGGACTCGGCATGGACGAAAAGTGGTGTGACTGACTTGAGGCATTTGCCACAGAAAATAGTGAAACATGAGCAGTCAGCCAAACATATGAATAACATGATTAATTTATCGTTGCTGGGTAAAGTGAACATTGCAGCTCAGATTGACACAGCATACAAGCTCTCAGTTGCAAAACACAATGAACAGGTGAAAAAAAACAGAGATGTGTTATCCAAAATCATAAACTGTGTAAAATTTTGTGGAAAATTTGAACTCCCTCTTAGAGGACATGATGAAACAATGAGCTCTAAGAATCCGGGAGTATTTCGTGGATTAGTTGATTTTGCTTGTGAACTGGATTCTAGCTTAGATGCTCATTTAAAGACCGCTACAGTTTTTAAAGGAACATCTAAATCAATACAGAATGAACTTTTAGAATCTATGTTGGAAATTTGCAAAAATAAGATCAAGGAAGAAGTAAAGAATGCAGATTATTTGGCAGTTATGTGTGATGAGACAACGGATATTTACGATAAAACACAGATGGTAATTGTTCTAAGGTATGAGCTACAAGGGAAGCCTGTTGAGAGATTCTGGGGATTTTTTAACCCTATCAATCAGACAGCAGAAGCCTTATCAAGTGTGTTACATAAAGAGCTCCAGACTTTAATTGGTGATTGTCCACACAAGCTCATTGCCCAAACTTATGATGGTGCAGCTGCTCTAAGTGGAGTCAATAAAGGTGTGCAAACCAGAATAAAAGAAGTGTATATCAATGCCCACTTTATCCACTGTTATGCCCACCAACTGAACTTGATTTTGGGAAAGGCAACATCACAGAATACCAATGTTCGTGTATTTTTCAATAGCTTGTCAGGAATACCAGCATTTTTTTCTAAGTCTCCACAAAGAATGGCTGCATTGGAGAATGTTCCTGGTCATCGAATTCCAAGGCCATCTGCAACACGTTGGAATTTCAAGAGCAGAACAGTCAATGCTGTGCATGAAATGAAAGATGCACTGATTGAATGTTGCAGCACACTGGAAGCATCTAACTCAAGAGAAACTGGATCTGCAGCAGCTGGTATCAAAAGAATTGTGAATGATCCTGAATTCGAATTTTGGTTGGAATTTTTCTCCAAAGTAATGCCTCATGTTGACATCATGTTCTCTCAGCTTCAGTCTAGAAATATTGATGCAGCTAAGGCTAACGCCTCTTTAAAAGTTTTTAATTCCGCAGTTCAGAAGTTAAGAGACGAATGTGATGCGATGGTGTTGCTGTTGCCTCCTGAGCAGAAAAGAAGAAAATTTAAAACAGACAAATTAGCTGCTGCAAAGGAGGTCTGTGACGTAATTTTGCTGCAGTGCAGAGAGAGATTCAGCTTTACTAATCATTTGGAAGCAAGCAAGTTACTTTTAGTGAATAATTTTCCAGTGTATACCAAAAATTTCCCTAGTAATGAACTTGAACAAGCAGTTGCAGCATATCCCATGCTTGAAAAAGACAAATTGAGGACTGAACTTACTGTACTGTACACAAGAGAAGATTTGTGTAAATCAGAAAGTCTCATAGACTTGTTGGAGATGATGAATGACAATAATCTACAGTCAACATTTTCAGACACTGTCAAGTTGCTGAAAATTTTAATAACAACTCCAATGACAACGGCAGAAGCAGAAAGGTGCTTTTCAACTTTGAAGAGAATTAAAACTTTTTTGCACAGTACCATGGTGAATGACAGACTGTCTGCTTTAGCAGTGATATCCATTGAAAATAAAATGATAAAAGAAATAAAGGATTTTAATGAAATAGTAATAAACAATTTTGCTACATCAAAGAGCAGACGCGCGGACTTTATTTTCAAGTAATACATGGTGAATGACAGACTGTCTGCTTTAGCAGTGATATCCATTGAAAATAAAATGATAACAGAAATAAAGGATTTTAATGAAATAGTAATAAACAATTTTGCTACATCAAAGAGCAGACGCGCGGACTTTATTTTCAAGTAATACTGGTCCATCACCACCTCGGCCATCCCTTCTACCACCAACACTACTACCATGCCCTGGGAATTCTTGGACATCAACTACAACTCATACCTGAGGTAGGTCAAATTTGTGTATCCTACTG